GAGATGATAGTTTAGGGCCTAAAATAAAATCATACAAAGTTTGGTTCAGATCAGATTAGGGAATATTAAATTATGGGACAGTAAAGTTGGAAAAATTTTGTGCACGTTCTTATAGGAGTGTCTCCCTAATTACCCATTAGCGGTAATGCAAACATTTTGAATTATCGACCAAGAATGGAAGAGGTTAGAACATCACCGGAGCAAAATCCTGACGGCTCTGCACAGTTTAAGAAAATAATGGTTTTTTTTATATCACGGAAACAATTTAATTTTCCTTGCCCCTCTAAGTGTTGTTAAAACTAAAACTGTTTTTTTTTCTTGGTGTTCAATTTAAAAAGGCACTGAGAGAAAATATCAAGTTCATTCCCTCGATCACTGCATTGGATGAAGTACAATCTTCATGATATTTAATGCGTCCAATCTGTATGATGTGTAACAAATTCGCACACAAATGCACACAAAATTATCTGCACGAGAAATAACTTACGCGATTTTTACACTTCAAAGGATAATTACAAAATATACTCCACACCAAAAATGACAGCTTGCGAAACAATCACGAACCGTGTTACACATACATAATACATCAAACACTGGACCACACCATTGCCAAATTTCAAATTTCTTCCACATGACACGACTTCTTGTGAAGCGAATCAGTTTAGAACACTTTGTCCCCAGAATAACCACGCTTTATATACACTATACATCCAACACAAGCGATGGTCATACGTTTCGTAATTAAAATCTGAAAGGAGAGATGGGTACCAGACTTATGGAATTTCCAATTTTGTATCGTAATCTAAGAGACCCCTTCTGTGGAGCCAAATTCGATCATTCTGTCCTTTCTCGTCAATTGCAACTTAGGAAAGGTATTATAAAACCTAATTCTCATTATCGGTTGACGTTACTGGTAAATAAGAGGACATAACTGTAACTGACAAGCTAAGTTATCCAAAACACATTAAAATTAAAATACACAGTGTTTTTTGGTCATGAAGTTTGTGTCAGATTCATAGATTTTGTGTCAGATTCATGCATTTTGTGTTTTAACATCCATTACGCATTATTAATATTAATTTTGCTTAATCATGATTTGTATGGACTATAGTTTTCGGCCGAGGGCAGACCCAATACAAACTTCGGGTTCTTGTCTCACCTCCACATACTGCTAAAAAGAGTTCTTTTGAAGTTTCTTTCCACATGTATTCAGCTTCTGGAAGTATGGGGAAACTGAACATTTTGTGCATTAAGTTTCTTCCTTAAAATTACTCAAAACTTGAGGAGGGCCCCTAAGAGCAGACGTGATGAAATTTGGAGAGAAGTACTTCTGCTGGCATTGCCGCTTTTGTCGTAATGCCTGGCTGCAAACACATAACGAATTATACTCTCCTCTGTACAATATTTAGCAGCAAATAATACTTATCAAGGAAGCGTTGAGTAAAACCAGACTGGAATTTGTTAAGAAGCAAAGTTTTATCTAGTTTGGTTAGTGTACGCGATAACCCTGAACGTTCAGGATCCTGCGTATTTCACGGTCTTAGGAATTCCATAGACTTCATTTCTTCACTCTTCCTGATTCAATTCATGAACGCCTCATCGTCATTGGCAAAACATGTATAGCACCACTTTCGCGTACATTCCATCGTTTATTTTCCAATCTTACGTTTTGTTACCTTAGCCAAAATTGCCTCTTACTACTTCTCGACAAATTCAAAGAATGCGACTTGACACCAACAGAAAATAAACACCTGCTATGTACATGTTGACCCACATCAGAATACTAATGGAGTATTATAATCGAATTAGTCAAGCTATGGTATGATATCTACCATTGTTTTTATCTATTCCCTGCTGTGTATGTCCTCATCCATGGTCTGGTAATCGGTCTGTTTGTGAGTCGTGTACGAGACTGGTACCCTCTCTTCCATCAATATTCCCTACACGAAAGAAAAACAAAGAATTCTAATTGGGGCAATTTTAAAACGTGACAGTTAGTATTTTGTTTCTATTTCCCGAAATTTCACTTGTTCAATCTGCTGATTGGTTTAGGTTAGTGCTTGTCTTAAAGGATCCAGGCAATGAATTTTTCTTAGAATCACATTTTGTGTTTCTCTGTGCTCTTCTTCGATGTATGAAGACTATCTGGCATCTTTTTTGAATTATGTGAACTGAACGGTGCAATTTTTGAAATATTAAAAATTAACCAAGCATTTTTGGACAGGTGAGGGGGCTTTTGCTTTGATGAAATTCCTGGAAGACATGGTTCAAGTTGCATGTTTTCATGTTCAAAATGTGAACCCCAAATTTTGCTATCTGGGAACATTTCTATAAAAAGGATTTTTGCTGGATTATTGCCATACACTTACACAGCAATAAATTGCCAAAGAAAATGAAATCTGCCATAGCAGTGGTTAAAAAGGTCTAAATCTTTTGTGCACAAGTCAGTGCAGCATTGAGTTTCAGTGCCTTGGATGACATCATAGTTCTGCTCATGAATATGCAAACATGCATTAGCATAAAAACAAAAAAGCATCAAAATATGGGTAAAAATCGAAAAACAAAAATTTAAAATCAGGTTAATTGAAACCCAAAGATGCATCTTCGAGGGTTTTAGTAAAAAATTCATTAAAGCATTTCTATTTCCTGGTTCTTTTAAGGGATTTAGCGGGGACTTGATAATCCATAAAATCGCAGAAACCTTTCAAAACATATTTTGGAATCATTTTTTGACGGGGTGTATGACGGATGGCATAAAGTATTTCCTTGTTCTTTACAACTCACCATTTTATCTTCTTTTCGAGGTGGATCTTTCAAAACGTAGCATAAGGGGGCGTATAGAATGCTTAGAATGGCCACAATCCTCAATAACCTGCAGAGAATGTGAAAGTTTGTGTATGTTTAAATATAAATGATACAATTACATAAAAACTGTTCTCGTTATAAGAAAGTTACAGAGACCTGACATGTTACTTTGCTATAAACCAGGACTTTGTTTAAAAAAAAAGAGTGGAAAAACAAAGATAATACAGGAATTCAAGTAATTGGGATTCTCAGAATTTTCCCCTCATAAGAGTATTTTGTTATAAAAGTGTTCCGTATATCGACAGTTGACAGTATCCATCGGCTACATAGAAGGTGCCCTCTCAATCGAGCGACGTATAGTAAACGCTGAAACTGAGAGGTATTCCCCAGGGTGGGGGTAATGTATTAACAGGTAATCATAGGTTCAGTCAGCTACAGAAGTCTTAGGGTTTTTTTTCAAAATCCGGAATATAAATAAACAGACAGGAAACTTTAGGCTATGTTGTTTTCGTTTAGCTACGCTGGGTGGGAGTATCCTCCTTTTAAGACCAACATTCAGAGGAAAAATTCAAACGGACCCATCGGTCTGAAAATGGATCGAGATTCTTAATTGCTTGGCAGATTTGTCAGCTGACTATAATACGTAAGGTACCACCAGCGACGAATTGAATGTTAGGTTGAGGATACCTTACTCTTACATGATAAATTATTAAATCTGCTTAAAGTGAGCTAACACCGGTGAGCTGTGTTAGAGCCAGGTGACTCTGTGGGAAGTCAATACAGCTACGCTCGTTCCAAATAATTTGGAACGCGGCGTTAGTCCCCTCCGTTCCCGATCGTCGAAAAGGTTCTGCAATATCCCGTCAGGTCGTGGGTTGTCATGTCAGATCAGGTCAGGCCGGGTATGGTGGTACGGCACTCTCGCTACTTCGAGCACGTGACCAAAGCATTATGATGCAGCATGAGTAAAAAAAATCCAATATGAAAACAGTTCTGAAAGTCACACATTATACCTACCACGAGAAACCAACAGCCTGCACTACTGCTGCACTCAACGAAGGACCTGGAACATAATCAAACAGTGGGGCATTTATCACTTGATATTTAGGCTATGGACCTATACATGTTGTAGTTGTATTTCACGGCCCATAGCTGCAAAATTTCGCGATAAGGCTTTCGTTTATGTTACCGACTCTAGCTGGTGTGGCTGTAATGTGAGCGTTTCCTTATCGTTCGTTTTAAGGCCCGTAATACAGATGTCAAAAATGCAAGGATATTACACTATGACTTCGGACTGTTGTAACTCCAGTGACTCCAAAGCCTTTATACTCGAGGTTTTGAACACTGTTTATTCTGGCCGAGTGGGGATTTATTGGTACGTGTTCCTACCCTGAATCAGTTTTGAACGGATCACGCTGTTTGAAAAACCACATCATCTGAGACTCACCAACGGCAAAGCCTATGCAGAAAGCCACATCCGCGATCGCATAGATGCTGCCGTAGACCGACACGTGTCGTATGTCTACCAGATGACCCATGATAGGCATCATGGTGGCATCTACCATTCCTGCGACAAATAATGAAAGAATCTAATATCTCAATAATACCACCCTTTGAAAACTTCATTTTTTTAACAGTAAAAGAATTATCGTTTAATTCTTGCTTTTCTTTTTTATCTGCACACTTTTCTTAAATTCAATTTCTTTAATGATATTTACACAGATTTTGTCACCAGTAAATTTTAAATTGTATGTGTTTTTACCTGCATTGTCTCTTGAAAACGATCGTGTACTTTGCAATGCGTGAAATGGGTTTTAAGCCAAAGAGATGATTCAGTTGTTGCTTTTACGTTTACATCATAATCAATATTCGGTAAAAGTTGACAACTGTTTAAAAAATCGAATCTATCATCACAAATCTGCTTGACTTCAGTTCGTTGGAACATATAAAAAAAACGCACAAACGTGACAATGGTTTGCTGCCACCAAGCGTCGAATACCCCATATTCTTCCATGCATTCCGGAATGCTACTTACCTATTGCAAATCCTAATGCAAAATTCGGGACCACCAGATGACCGATTGCTTTAGCAAATGGAATCTGTAAGACAAAATGATACGTAAAGCGTACCATCTGATTAAAGAGCCGGTGCAAATGCTACAAACTTGTTACTCGTATTCTTGGCTCTCAGGCCAGATTTAACTGACATTCCGAGATGAAAACCACGTCTACTTACCATGAGCATGGCGAGTCCCGCTAATACCATTCCCAGCAGCGAGGAAAGCCACCTGAGTAAAAATTACACCACAGCGCCGTTGGCATTTTGTACGCATCGTATTACAACACTGCAATTCTTGCTCGGGACGATTAATGTAATTTATTTTTTTAGCAGGACGGTATGAAACAAAATGCACTCTCTCTGCATGTTCAGAGTATCCGTTGCTGATTACTAGTACACTTAGATCTTTCTTACCTGCCGATTCTGTGCCCAAGAAGCCCAAAGATGTTCGTACTTATCAGGTAGGAGATGCTGGCAGGAATGAAAATAGCACCTACAATATAGAAACACGACGAGAAGATTCAACTAAAAGCGGAAAAACGTGGCAGAGAAATGTTGGAAAGGCAAAGCTTGATGGAGGGACGGAAAAAAGGGTATACGACTTTAAAATCATAGAATTATGCACAGGAAATTTCAACCTGGTGTCCATCGACTTATTTAACGCACAGTGATAAGTTTGCATAAACTGGAAATTTAATATTTTGCAAAGGAATCTTGGATCTACGTAACTTACCAATTTCCCAGTTTGACGGATTGTTCATGTGGTCTAGCATCCAGAGCGGCAAAGACGGCTCGAGCAAGGCAATTCCCATATTGCCAAAGGTAATAGCTCCTGAATAAGCAACACTTACACAGTAAATATTTCAGCATGTGCACTATTATTTCAAAATAGTTCGCTTTGGTCGCCGGCGGTTAAACAAGTACAGAGACCCAGATCACGCAACTAACATCGACTTTCTCAAGAGTCTTTTCAACCAAAAATAGTTTTTTTTGCCACACACTCTTTTAAATATTCTTTTAGATATTATGTTAAAACGAACTATGTAAATGCAGTACTGAGGTTTGTTTTACATACTAATTGTATCAAAGGATTAGTAGTATCTCATGGCCTGTAAAAACGAATGCAGAGCGTATGGAGAAGCTTGCAACGAAGCCGGTATACGGGACCACCCAGAGTCTCTCAGTTTTGTTGTAGTCTATACTTTAATGCAAATCAATGGCTAATGATCACCAAGGAGGACACCTGAAGCCTATATACAGCTGAAATCCTGGTAATGGTGCCACACCACTTTCAAGATCGTTCCACTCAGCGTTGTTACAAAGAGTGGAACCCTGGCGCATACCTGCTGCAATTACAATGTAGGGATCTCGAAGTAGGGTCAACAGTGATGTTCCTTCCATCTCAGTTTCCTTGTTCATACTGGGATTTAGTACAAGTAACTGCAGTACTGGATGCACACAGAGGTATAAAATAAACAGGCACGATCTAATAATTATAACTATGTATTATGCAGGGCTGTGAGAATCCAGCTTTTTATCCGATTTCAGCTTTTTTCAGCTTTTTTGTATACTCGGTCTGTACAAAAGAATGGGAACTTTTTACATTTCAGCTTTTTGTTGGCTGTTTTCAGCTTTAATTGTAAGTGGCCACTCGCACCCCTGATTATGATAAAAACCCGTCACGACCATTATCTTTCATGCAGCATGGTCCGGAATTCGTTTGAATTCCCAGTATGGCTGGGGTAGGAATCGACCTGCCGATCATACTCTTTAGTGTTTAAGATTAAAGTTACCTGTACTCGAATACGTGGCAGTAGCCAAAGTTCAGCTTTGTTGGAGATATTGGGGCTCTTACTGAATCATAACAAAATGTCCTTGAGAGATGTTCGTCTTCCGTTCTGTCCCTCTGTCAGCTTGTTTCATTTGGATAATGCTTAAAGATTTGCATGGTGAATCTCCGATAGCAAGGAGGTTTGTGAGTATGTGTGGTTCTGAAAAGAACCGGTACTTGGAACCACACATATTCACAGAGGAGATAATCAGCATGGTGTCTCCGCAAACTTCCTACCTATTATTTTGTTTGTTATTGAAATTGTAATGTTTATCTTCAGTATATTTTGTATAACATTTTTTGCATCATGGTGTCCTCTACTTACACCCATCAGCCAGCGCCAGTGCTGCCAGAACTAGGAACGCCGATTCTTTCCCGACAAACTGATACATAACCCCTCCGAAAGGCGGACCGACTGTTCAAACAATAGTACATGTAATAATTAGTTGGTTTTTTTTTAAAAGGGTAAAAAAGCTAGAAAAGTGGCCCTATCATGGTGTGGCCGGATTTCGAAGGGATGGAGTTAAGGCCAGTTCATACTTCAGGAGAATGCGAAATTGAAAGGATTTTAAAGTCATGACATTTTCGCCGTGAAATTCATTTGAGTCAGTTGAAATATATTCAACTTTTAGGAATTCAGAGAGTGATTATTTGATCTAAAGTCACAAAACTGGGTTCTTTGTCGGTTTTGTGCAAAGTATAACCAGGGCTCAATAGGGTTATACCTTATGGGTAATAGGCCTACGTTACAACTCATTGCAAGATGAAAAGCTTTTAAGAACAGTGATCTACATTATATTTCACATTCTCTATTCATAAGAAATCGTGATAAACCCTCCCCGTTCGTGGAAATATCTCACTATGAGATGAAGTTTTAAAGCTCTATAGGTGATGGAATTAACAACGCGCAATGCTGGGAAGGCCTTTTTTGGCTCCAATTTCTCGATTCTAGGATTGGAAGAATGCTATCCAATTAACTTTGGTTGCTAGATATTATGCCAACTTACTGAGCACGCCGAAAGCAAGCCCAGCCAGGGCGATCCCCATAGCGGCTCCTCGCTCCTCGTAGCCTGGATAGCGGTGGGCAAGCATGCCCATTCCTGACGAAATGAATGAGTACCTCTACAACTTGCATGTGCAAATTATGTACAATAACACACCTTTAATCAACTGCGTAAACGTTTGAATATTACTTCTAGACAAATAAACAATGACGTGGTGAAGCGTTTCCTTGATCGAAAACAATAGCAGTGGTTCGAAACACTATATGATATCAATTGAGCATTAAAAAAGGAAAACGTTAGGCGGTCAAAATGGGGAGACCAACTATTTCGTTCGATTTCCGAACAATTAAATTGCTTTCAAGATGTTAATATACGTTGGGTAAGGGCAAAAACCTGTTATATAAAATTAAATTGCTGGGCTAGCAGCTGCGTTATACGCATACACACGACCGGATCCGCAATGGTTCATGTGGACTGAAATACCAGGAAATGACAAGCTATATATGCCTATTTTCTTCTGTTGCTTTCATTTGCGTGCGATCACTCTTTCATTAATTAGCGGCGAGAGTGTCTCGTTTGGACCTACCTGCTACCGACGAACAGGACGAACCAACCCCTTGGATCATACGAGCGATAATCAGTAGCCAGTACGACTGACCAAATGCGAATACTGAAATTGTTTAAGAAAAAGAAATGGTGGGGAGTGATAATTGCCGATTTCAGAGAGCTGTTTCACAAGTTAAACCTAGTGAATTTCATAACGCGTTTGTGGAATTGGCGTATTTCAGTTGTCCCTTATAAACCCAACTTGACTATTATGCATGTCTTCAGCATAACATTGATATCAAGAGGACACATCAGCGCATAGACATCAAAGTGCATGCGTCAAGTTTGGTTTGTAATTTGTACAAGGTCTGGTGCACGTTAAAATAAAAAATCTGTCGAGCCATGAATTCAGACTGGAAACATGCATGAAAATAGTGTGGCTGTAATCAGAAGTCGAACTTGAACACGAACCGTTGTTGCAGAGTGTGTGATCTTACCTAATGTTGAGGCAAACATGATAACGAATCCAGTGAACATCGGTATGCTATAACCAACTCTGCGTGGAGAGACCAAAATATTGATTTGCTTTTATTGAACAAACCTCTTGAAGATGAAAGCACCATACAGCCTCTCTGTCATATATGCTATTTGATTAAGTGGACTGCACAGTACTGCAGCCCCTAAAATTACACATTTCTTTCCATTTTACCTTATTTTTGTTTTGATTTACATTTTGGAGCATTTTTTATATCATGCTAATGAACTTGCATTTTCATGAGCACCGCTGCTATTTCATCCCAAGCACTGAACCCCAATGCTCCACTGATGTTTGCACAAATATTGTTGCTGTAAGTTTTGATTATTTATGTTATGGAAAGTATGTGGTAATAAGCCAGCGGGCAACCTTCTCTCAAAAATGTTTTACGGGGTTCAAAATTTTGAGCAGAAGAACATGGTAACTGAATAATAGCTTCCCTAATTTACGTCACAGCTTCAGCGCCCCCACTTGTCCGAAAAAAGCCTGAACAATTTTTATGTTTAAAAATTAAATTTACACAAGTCAATACCCTTAACTCAAAGAGGATTTAAAATAGTGTTCATAAACTGAAGAAAAGTGTAACGATACTCAAGAAGTGAATCTATGCGAAAGTCCATTGCGGGGATCCCGCTTCTTTTAGAAAAAGATGAAAGATATGAGTTTGTGGAAAAATATGCAAGAAAACCTCACAGCCGAGGAGAAATGTGTCTATATCCGAATCGGTGTCAGCAACGACTGTATAGCACTTACCTATTAGTAAGGGGACCCACGATAGGATTTACGCATAACTGGACGATAGCCTTGGAGGCAAACAGTATGCTGACTTTGAGGTTCTCATGACGAAGAACGAGACTGTACTTTTGTTGCTCCGCAGGGCTCCTGGTGGGCGACCCACCGCTGACATTACCTGTAAGCAGACCAGAAAAAGAATGGAGTATTAGTATGTGAAGAAGTGAGTGAAAATTATTTTTGTCAACTAATCCGAGGTAAAGCCATTTCTGCGGTAGCACCACCCTTCACCTGACACGGCACCCTATATATGAACAGGATAGTCACGCGCCCGTTTCACCAAGAGCGTGATGTCATTGCCGGCACTGCAGTCTACATCCTGCTTGTCGAATTGGGCTACACTACGGAGCGTAAAAATTCGACAGTAGACAGCTGAGATTCTCCTTTGGCCTCAGTTTTTAGCACACGACCCTTTTCCCTGTGAGGTGAACTCGTCAAAACTGATTAAAACATGATTTTAAATTGACCCTTTCCGGCACAGGAGATCTAAATTATAATCTAATTGTCTCTTTTACCCTCCGCTGCACAGGACCGATTTTTTCATGTTAATGCTCGGACGCTGTCCTATGAGTATCAGCTGAATTCACTGCACAGAGCCTACTTTTTACACCCATTGCACCAAGGTGATTGTTTTGAGATCACTTCCGTTATAACAACAAAAATGTGACACCCCCAACACGATGAAACTACTCAGACAGCTGTCTACAGCTCAGAGACACGTAAGAGAGACCGACCATTGATATAAGACAGGCCCAGGCTTTCCAGGGCTTGCCCAGGCACTTTCTTTGTCAATAACCCCTTATCAGCACGTGGTTTAGATATTTACATACAATCCCCATGGGACGTGGCTGGAGGCGGGCTCTGGAAAAGAATGAAGCAGCTCAGGGGAAGGCCCCATGTTAAAGGTGACTAAACTAGGCTGTTCACAGTAGTGCGCCTTCAAGAGTTTGCAACGCGTTGACCAATCACAGTGTGCGAAATCTGTCCACCCAAGCCGCGTTTGGAAAGGGTTTGGCAGATTCCGGGCACTGTAATTGGTCAAGGTGTTGCAAAATGTTGGAGGCGCACTATTGTGAATTGCCCATATTGGATGAGAGGGTCTCCTGTTCCGTCAAGGCATATTCATATTGTAACAGGATATCTTTAGGACGTCCCTGTACTGTGCGGTTTGCTTTTTTGTGATAAATACCGACAGTTTTCCCATGCAACCTTCTTGACGACCCGTATTAGTTTAGAGGACATAGCGACCAGAAAGGTAAGGACCTCCATTTAACAGGAACCGTCCTTTTTGGCAGCAATAAGCTTAAGGATGACAAATATCGTGTTTGACAAATACCGCCTTTAACGAATGTATGAATGTTATAGTTGGTGCAAAGGCACACTGAGACGAGTTGATAAGTTTGCTTAGTTAATGAAATAACGGTAAAGCAGGATTACACCGAGAAAGCAGTAGTTGAAGGAAGTTTTACCGTACTTTCTCGTAAAATAAAGATGTTGCAAGAGGAAGATTTGGCAGTGATATGCTGTTATCTGACCCGTAATGTCGGACAAGTGAGGCACTTGGGCGGAAGTTAGAAAATCAGTTGCAAAGAGCAGCTGAAATGAACAAAATCAGTTAATGTCAAATGGGACACAATAATATTTTTAATAAACGACGCAAGTATCATATAACTGCATTTTACTCTGTAAATCAATGTTGTTCTACTCACACCCAAGCCACGAGGGATCTGCAGCGGACGACGCTGGGACCGTAAAAAGCTCGCTGCAATTATTGCTTCTGTTGGACGCCGAAAACAGCCGTCCGTTCGCAAACTCCGGGTGTTCTTGCTCGAAGAGGTAGTTCGGGAGAATGGGCACTGTAATGGAAAAGCAGCAATCAAAAATGGACGACCAGATGGGGCAGTCCTGCTAGCCAGTGTGTCGAAAACTAAGGAGTCCAATAATGGGGATGCATTGTAGTATGTAACAGAGAGATAGCTGTATCCGAACTAGTATAGTCGCAGTAAAAATGTTGGCCGGGATTTACATGTTGATTTTCATCGGTGCGTCGAGCAAGTTCTTTCCCGGTTATGTCCTTCCCCTCCCAACAAAAAGATGCAGAAGCTTCAGGACAGAACATTCTACAGACATTACCCAGACTGCCTATTGCGGCTGTGCGTGCTCCTCAGCACGATTCGTGATCTTTTCGGTTGTGTGATGTTGGCAAAAAGAGGCACATGGAAAATATCCACGCTGAAGAGGAATAGGACATAAATGAATATGACGATGATTCGGAACCTGTTGAGGAGGTTGTTGACGAAACCTCGGATGAAGATAGTTCAGAATTGGAAGACAGTGCTACCTACCAAGATTGGCTGACTGAAGCCACAGAAACAAATAGGGAAATTTGGGATGAACATTTTGACAAGTACGTCAACGAAGGCATGGATAAAAATCAAGCCTGGCAGAAGGCAAAGAGAAAGACCCTCTGGGATTTTTTCGACAACTATAAGGATTTTCTGTCAAGTTACCTACATTTGAAGGATAATGAACTCACCAGGACACTGTGGATGATCTTGAAGAAAAACTTGATAAAGGCATGAAACTCAACAAAGCCTTGAATACAGTTTTTTCTAAAAAATGCTGATAAATTTGAGGGACTGTTTCAGCTAAATGACGAAGAGGATAATGACTAAAAGATAGCAATCATTAGAGACAAATAGTTCCAAAAAGAAATGAGTAGATGTAATGCCTCTGATTTAAAATTTAACAAACTTCCAGTAATCAACTTCGTAGTAATTCTTAAAAAGAGTACAACTGGGAAAAATCAATGATGAAAAAATAGAAATAAAACAGTACAGAAACCAGTATGTGAAGTCCACTGAATTTGTTTTGTGTGCTTACTAACCGGTATGAATATCAAATAATAATTCTCTGGTCGGATACTGGCCGGGAACTTCTGCACAATATTGCATAACTCGGCGGATGCAACCATTGTAAGCCGAACGCATGACTGTTAGCATGTGCGCGCCCTCTCTCGTTTAGTGCCCAAGGATTAAGTCATCAGACCAACGTCCTATCCACAACAGCGCCGCGTACAACCCTTTGTCCCAAAGATTATCCCCCATTACCCGGCGTCACGTAAAATCCATTGTCTAGAGACTGTCTCAGATCGGACCCTCACTTGCTATATGAGTCGTTGTCTATTTTTATCATCATATTTCATCCAATTGTGCAATGATATAATGGGAAAGATCACACTGCCAGATTTTCTGACCATGTTCCTATTCATCCCTAACAAAAGGTCAACTTGCACCAGACTTTCTAACCGTTTCCTCGTTCCTATTCATCGCTGAGTCAACTTATACCATATCTTTTCACCCTACAACTCTTTCCTATTCATATCAATATGATCATGTTATTAGCTTAAGCATATTCATGTGACCTCTTCCTATTTCTAAACCGAAGGTCAAACTGTACCAGACTGACCCCACTACTTAGGAAATCCACCAAATTCCTCAAAATCCACCACAGATTTTGTCCCTACGAAACAGTCGGAGGATGATTAATAGCCCTTCCCTCACAGTCAAAAAGTATACCCCACCCCCCAGGATTTACGCCCCTTGCTTGAATACGTTATCGTAGGTAGGAGTGAACATCCTTCGTGCGTACGCAATCAATAAAGGAACCTTATACTCACCCACCACCGTCATCAGTATGTTGTCGAGCAGGAGAGCCACGAACACGATGAACAGAACCAGCCGGCGCGACTGCCGTAGGTTCCGGATGCAGTTCAGAACACTGAAATCCCGCCACCAATAGTGAACCGACGTCCAAAATTTGTCGTACATGGATACAGGTGCTTGCTTCTCCAAGTCCATGGCCACGGCCGAGGTTGTACTTCAGCTGATGCTTCTGTTAGTATCAGGGAAAAAGAGAATGTGCCCCCAGTTGGGGAAGGTTAATGTAGTTTGTCTGCATGCCTCCGTGTCCATGGCTTGTATATAGTCTGCCATTTCTCCAGACCGAGGACTCGACGTCCATTTTAGATGGGAGCCATCTCCTTGGAGTATACAGATATAAACCTCAGTCTTCCCCTTTATTTGTGTGCCAACATTCACTGCTTGCTCTTTAAAAATATTGTCCAAGACTGCACAGTTTACGCGGCAGAGTCTCATCAATAGCGGACGGTGTCATTTAGACTCTCCAGTCATTGGTTGCCGCCCTTAACAGTTTCTAATTTGGCTGGGAAATTTGTGATTAGAAGCCTATTCCCCTCTGGAACAGCTATAGTTCGGAGTGTATCTGATAACGTCATTTTGTGTATGCATTTCTACTTTCAAAAATCATTGGACAGATAAAGAACTCGTACAAACCGGTACAACCTACGGCGGGCAACGCATGAAAGATGGGTTTTGGTGCCTCAAGTGCAAAGAAAAGGAAACTGTGCGCGCAAGGTCGTACACAACGAAGATTCTCTTTCAAAATGACAAAAAGGTGAAGTCGATCATAACCCCTGTTAACGAAAAGAAAGGAATTTCCGCTGCAGTAGGTTGTTCATGGTAGCGCGAGTTATATTTTCTCGAAGTCCGTTATTATGGGACATGATATCAAACTTAAAAATATATATCTATTGAAAAGTAACTTGAACAAAATTATCCCGGAAAAAAATTATCTTGTGAAAAAGATTAAGACTGTTTAAAAATAAGAACGAACTGGAGAATGTATGTCTCTAACAAATCACCTTTGGAAAAAAATCTCATAAAAACGAACTTCCTAAAATCTAAAAGTCCACTAAAGTTAAAAAAAAATATACATGACCTTCATAAAAACGAACTTTGAAAAAATACTTCACCCCTTTTGAAATATTAACTTGATGACACTATAGGGCTTTGGTATATCTCCAAAATAATCAGGTCTGGAATGTTTGTGTCTGCCTGCTTTGTAGAGATAATCCCGGAGTAATATGCTGACATCATGCAATCAGTTCTTGATTTACGTGACATTTCACCTGATCAATAAAATAAGAGTAGTCCCAGTTACCGACATGAGACACTGAATTATAATTGGCGCGTCAGGAATGAAGGGTTCTTGGCTAGCATTATGTAGTGATTGAAGTTTGGTTACGCTCAAGACGATATTCGATGAATGATCTCCAGTTACGATGGGCGAAAGCCCAAGGACTTTCATAGCACACCCAAATGATTGCATGACGTCCGGCTGTTCGTGGTTGACGCAAAGAAAAGAAAATCACGTTGTTGAATTAAACATCCGGTCATATCGCGCCGCACAAAGGGCTTGGCAAACAAGACTAATGAGGTATTGTCAGGCATTCTGCAAAACCATGCGTACATGGTGGCCACCAATAATCGTAATCTATGAGGGAAACTGATTAAATCCTGAACGCTGGCCACCACAGGGCACGTATTTATAATTAACATCGTAGCTCTGACGGGCACATTTTGACAATTACTTATACGCAAGTGTTTGCGTCATTAATGCCTTTCGCCAAAGAAATGTAATTTTAAGGTGTCTTTACACAACGTTAATGGCCACACCTTTTGGAAACGTGTATTTCTTTCAAACCATGACAGCAACGGCGCATGTGCGGGGTAAACACCATATGGTCATGTGGGGGATATGCATTTGTAGGTTTTCCCATGACTAGGCCTAACCACATCTATACTCTCTAACCCCTTTGGTGTCTTTATCTCCTCCCCCTCCCCCCCCGAAAAAAGGCTTTGCCCTCATTCTGCAGACTCCAATGTCTCAATGTTGTTATTTTTGTGCCCAGTTCTGACTTCATTTAACATTCATGTACTTGTCTTCTTTGATGCGTAACTTTAGAAGGGCCAGTTTAGCCTTTAAATCAAGTCGTGTATCGTCACCGTCCTGTAAGGACGTGCGCAGTTAACTTTAATGTTCCATTTCTTGTATATTTTGAAGGAGGGTCCGTTGGTCGAGGATAAAGTTAGTAAAAAAAATTTGTTCTCTCGGAAATTCTTAAGATTATTATTTTCCTCGGTAGGAATTCCGGACAAGGTATAAAGGCGACATGAAGAAAAGATTTTTTTTTCTTCAGCCGGAGCCAAAAATAAGACTTGGTGGGAAATGAGAACTATAGACTTGACTGCAGACGCCTAAACGCAGCATATTTAAAAGGTTCTTGATTGTTTTTGTCAATATTGTCGTTGTTGTATTGGATCTCCTGTTGTTTCCATGCTAACTGTTGCTACTGAAGTGCCCAAGAGACTTAAAAGGATCGTTTCAAAGTATTTTCTGCTTGTAATGTTTTTAAAAATTTAATTGCCATTAATGGCGTTAACATTTCTGATGAACTTCAAAATATTGCCAGTATTTCAAAAGATTAATGATACATGTATGTTATAAAATCTGTACTTAATTGATTGTTGTATATCCACTAAACTATACCCCGATTTAAGGATAAAGTCTTTCGGATATACACTTATATAAGAAAGAAAAGGGTGCAACGCAACTATATTGTATATCACATGTATCTATGACATCCTTTACAAAATCAAGCAGCCATGGTGCTGAGCAACGTAAAACACAGCGTACAATCACCCGGACTACAGGCGCTTTTCAGTGCAACCCTTTCGTATCAATCATGTGTTACGTAACACTTCGTTAACGTAAATTATTTGCCATCACTGGTTGTTAGATATCACAGCCGACATCACACAGACAAAAATCATTGTTGATAAACGGCCACCGTCGATTATCAAAACATGCACATGACATGTAACTGCTCTGTGCAATAGTAGTGGTAGTACTTGATGTATCGATCGTTACATATCTGGGGAAGGTACAAGTGGCATTGAACATATCTGCTAACTATGAACCACCCTCGTTCTATTGAGAAAAGTGTCCATTGTAAGTTAAGAATATACAGTAAACGGTAAACTGTAAACAGAATGTACATTTAACTGTACGTTCTTTTAAAAAACTGACAGGTCAAAATAATCGACTTGATAGACACAGAAATTCATATGTGTTAATTGTAACACAATTCTCGTTGTCTTTGCGGTTTTCTTTTAAATTCCGCGCTCTAGCAATAGGCCTATTTGCTGAATTTCATTCAGCGTTACTTTCACGTCTACTCTTACTAGCCAATTTACTTTCAGCGTGCTCTCAGTTTGAACTCATTTGACACTTGCACTGGCCCCATCGCGTACCTAAAAAAAGCAATAAAAAGTCGTTTGTCAACTCAACTGAAATAAAACTTAATACAAAATACTGATTGCTTCGAGTGATGTGATATAACTACCCCCCCCCCACCATGAAGCATTTTTATTTCAAGCATATCCATTTTCCCAAAGCGAGTTCTCCATTGATTGCATGGCCGGGTCATAGTTTTATTATACTACAGGCATGCATGATATTTAAAAGAGTCAGTAATTGTTTTATAACCCCTCTCCCACAAAATGCTGATTGATTTGAGCTATAACTGATAAATACGATCTGAACACGAAGGCAGGTACGTGTATTTGAACATGATTTGAATAAGAAATCTGTTGAACATTTTTCAGCACATTTCCTAACCACACGTCATCACATAGGCCCTAATGCTCTGTAACGTGAGCACTTTGAAATGCGACCAACAGGCACATCACTACGCGTTTGCGCACATTGCCGGTGATTCTGCATGTGCGTGCAGTTCATTTAGTTGCTACGGGTATTGTAGTTTGGTTGTTAGTAAGTACCTTTGGCCATGAGAGACAAAATAGCAAAATTAGCAGATGCTATATGGCAACTTCTCGGCCAATCAAGATACAAAATAGGCTGTGGGTGAGGTGTTATAATGCAAAATGTCGCATCTGAAAGTACCTGCTCAGTGGCACGCCATGTTTTCCATGGAGCTGACGTCAAGGCGCATCCTTTCCAACATACAAAGTAGGTGGGCATTTGTCCACCCACTTCCAGCTTATGCCCACTCAATCAAATGAGAATTGCCTATGGCAAGGGCATAGGTCCCGTAAGGTATGTTCGCATTGGACCTTTTCGGTAATACAATCAATATAATGTCAAGGGAAGCCAGATTTTTGACACTTGAACGAATACTCAACCCAGTCTTGGCACTGGCAACATAGTTACCATAGACTGCAGAATACAGCCCATGTTCCCTCTGGACGGAACCAGTGAAGATTGCCACACTTACCTACAGAAAAGTAAACAGGTTACGCCGTACACTTCTGATAAGGGCATTCCTGACGAGCGTCGTTGATGGAGTATCTCACCTTAGTGCACATTGACAAGAAGAATCCTGTTGCAACGTTGGATAAAACGATTTGTGGCTTCGAGAACAGTTCGGGAAGGCCTACTCTACTTAACGGACGACAGTTACGCCTGTGTTACCTCAGCTCATGGTCTCCGTTAAATTATACTGACTAACGCACATTTTATGACATTACAAGAATATTCATCACTGTTTAGTTTGCATAAATCCACATCAGTTCAGATAATGATTCGAAGCTACTTGTTGCTGTATCCCATCACTCAGCTTATTAAAACGGGAATTTCACTGAGCAATACTATCGGGCCAAGAGGTAACTAAACGCGTCAAGCCTGCGTCTTGTTTCTCTTCCCCGTCCCAACTCGTGCGCTTCTCCTGGTCTCCGTCCCACGCGGAAAAACACGGGCCACACGGTCAATAAAAACCGCCCGCAGCCCCTCGTCGCCAGTTGTATCAAATGCACGGCCGGGGCGGTGGACCCAGCCAGTAATAAAACACGCGCCGGGCACGGGCCTGTTTGCCGAGTCGCCGCATCGGAAATGAGCTCGGAAATTGCCGCCTCAACTCCACCGTCAGAGCGGAGACGGCCGACGATTGGACGGAGGGGCGTTGAGGTGGCAGGAGGTGTGATTGGTTGGACCTCGAGCAGCAAAAGCAGCACGCAAAAAAAATTGACCATTGCGGATGCTAACTTTTCTGTTTTAGCTCAAGGGCAAATGGGGGCCATGGTACCATTCCCCCCCCCGCCCAAAAAAACTAGAAGATCCTAGATTTAAAAAACAAAGTAATTAGGGAAAGGTGCTTTTTCTTCGTTATTTGTTTTTTTTGGGGGGGGAGAATTTTGTTTTTTTGGGGGGGCTGTTTATTGTTTTCTTTGTGTAAAAAGCCCTAAAATGTAACCTAACCCCCATGGAAAGGCTAGAAAGGTCACAGGAAAAATACACCAAAATTTGCCCCCCCCAAAAAAAATGGTTTGCACTCGCCCCCCCCCCCCGAAATTGGTTCGGGTTCCATGACCTGTTCAAGCGTGGATCTGTCACATTACAAACATGATGTCATTGTTTTCAAGAGGGGTAATTAACAACAAACTGCTTTCATTTCCCCGCGCGAAAAGAGAAATATTTGTACGTGTAGTCAAATAAAGTATCATTCACAGTTTTATTTGCGAATCGTGGATCAACAGGTACACAGGCATACCATTAATTATTAAGAAATAACGCATGCTCGGATTAATTACGACTTTCCGCCATCCAATACCATGACATTGTGATGAGAGGCTCTTTCGGACTTACATGCGCGTCAATTGAAGAATTTAAAATATGAAATTACAGTGTACTTAGAATAACGTTTTCCATTCCAACCTGGCGATGTTGTAGGTCTTTGTTGTTTGGTCTCACCCGCTTAGCAATAATTATAAATAAACTAATTTTGCACAACCATCAAAATAATCAGCTGTACATGTAGAATAAACCCCAGCAACAACAAAATTATCAGGACAAAGCAGGAAAACTCAATAACGGTCGATTCACAATTGTGCACCTCCAAGACTTTGCAACGCGTTGACCAATCACATTGTGCGAAATCTGTCGACCCTTTTCAAACGCGCATGTAGTCGACAGGTTTCGCGCGTGGTGATTGGTCAACGCGTCGCAAACGTTTGGAGGCACACTTTTTGTGAATTGCCCGTGTTTAACAAAATACTTAGCCCAATAAAAAGAACTTGTATAGCAATAATCACCTCTTTCGATGCAATCTTTAAGTCATAAAATATAACAATTTAAACGGAATCCATCGACACAATTAGGGCCAATTTTGAATGTGTTTCTTCTTGGGAAAAAAAGAAAGCAAAAACTGAGATACTTACTGGTAGGACTGGCGGAGAATTAGAGGTGTATAATGTCAGAAAATTACCACTTTTTAGATCAGAGGGTAGTGAACTCTCAAGTTTGTCTATAATCGTCGTTGGTCACTTGGTGGGACCAGCAACCATACGTGCGTGTAGCTATATATCAATCCTCGTTGCTGCATCCTGGATTACTCTTTGTAACCTGGCTACTTCAGGTCGTCTTTGGACAGCCCTATACAAAAGACTTCCCCAGAAAGCAGGGTCGTTCGTGAAAAAATCCCTTAGGCCTAAACAGTTCTATGAATATGGAAAAACGATACGGCACGAGCCTTGGAAATATGAGCATTCAGACACAAAATAATTCTGAGTTAAAACAAGGGGGCGACTGCCCCCATCCGTGGGAACTCTTGCCTTCCCCACCCCCTCCGACGCCTAGTTACTCCACTGACCCTTTGGTATCTATCGAGGAAGGGCAGGCGTACAAAAGAGTACGACAGTATTCAGGTCCGTTAGTGATGATTACATGAAAGACCAATATAAGAATTCTAATGTTATCTTTCTAATGTTATGAATATGAAAAGAGGATACCACACCACAAGCCTTGGATATAGGAATTTTCATTCACAAACTAGAGTGAACAAGTTACCAACTGTGACTTCAGCGGCTGCCTATAGCTCTAGTAAGTAAACCTTCCTACGCAAAGACAGATTCTGCACAATAAAATCCAATTTGTCAAATGATCTGTGACATGTAAATGGAAGAGCGGAAATAATGTTTGACTTTGTGACTTATAATTGGAGGGTGGTTGTATCCTTTGTTTGATATACAATTTCCATAGCTGCAACAGCCGCAGTCTGACAAGCATGCGTTCAGAGATTAATAGGCAACAGTCAGTTGTCGTCGGCATTATGACAGTAAACTTTAAGGAAAGAAGCTTGGAAACTTCGCCGTTCATTGACTTTCGTCTGAGAAGACTACCTGAAAAGGTTCTCATTGGCTTCCGTTCGGACAGGCAGGTTTGCCAGTAGCGTAGCCCGAGGATCGGAGGTGCAACACGGTAGCATACCACCGGAAGGGGAAAGAAAAGGCGCTGACGCATCACCTCAACATGTTGCATTTTTGTGCATTTTGTCTTAACAATTCCCAATAAATACATGTCCCCCTATGATGTTGTTAACACAAGATACCGATGTATGTAGGCCCTACTTCAACTTTAAACAAGACACGATCCCGTAGCGCTTCTTAAAATAGTCGTTGGTAACCAGCCGTTTCCTTTACTAAAATGTCCTGTGGTTTTCTCTTACTTATTGGCGACCCAAGTCATCGACCGTATAGATTTGCCTACAGCGCCATTTTGTGTGAATTATTTACCATGCTGTGCATAAAGTTTAGTCCCTCTCTCTGTTATGTTCAATCTATCTTCATACCGATATTTTTGTCCTCTTCTTTATTTGTGATACTTTAGTGAACTTCCACGTCAGCCGACACGGGCTTTGTACCCGAATCTTCCTGACAATATTATTGTCGTGCTCTGTTGCAATCTGATCGTACGTTAATTAGAGTGGGGTAAAACGTTATAAAAAGGTATCATCTAACTCCCCAGAGCTTTGTAGTTTCGTCTCATCTTAGAGCTTAAGCATTCCCCATGCATGCATGCAACTAGTCCGTTGTTGGCCTGTAGTCCTAAGTTAACACTGAAGTCTCATGTAACTCTGATCACTAGCGACTTCTGTATTTAAAGAAAATCCAATGCGCATTGGAGGGACACGAATCGGAACTATTTCTTTCCTGAAGGTATCAAGTGAACTTGGAACAGTGATGAGATTACAGTGAGTGTTGAGTTTGGTAGGTGGAAAGAGATACGCGCAGCCTTCAAATAACCACTTTTTGCTATGTGTAGAGAAAACATTGGAATACAGATCCGGATTTTTTTTTTAGTAAACTTGCTATAGAAATGGGTCAAATTGGTTCCCATCTTAAGTAGAACGGCAGGCGTTATGACACAGTTACATCCTGCAGTTGGAAATACAAGGCGTGTCTTGTTTCCGACTGAGAGTCTGGAAAGAGCAGCCGCTCTATTTAGGTAAATCCCCTCCTGCTACATGCTGGAAGCAGGTTTGCAGATTTCATTTCCTTTATAAAAACTGGATATAGGGCCCCATGGCGCGCAGGTTCAGTGACTAAAAAATTGAACGTATAGTGCCTACAGGTAAACTATTACAACTCAGTTACTGGAAACCAAAGCAATCAGTTTGAGTTCAGGAAAATATCATTGATACAGACAAGCTTTGAATACAGTCGTTGCCATGGGGGCACTTTGATCTTAAACAAAGACACGGCCTGGATAGCCAGATTAAAGTGCAGCCATCAACCTCTGTTGTGGCATACGAATAAGTCGACTAATGACTAGCTCGCCCACGTCAGCACTATCATTTGAGTTTTAATAAGAACGAGCAATGATGTGCCTGTACGCCTGTCGGGAAAACAAGTTAGTGATTAACTTAGATGTGTTTCCAGTCAACGCCCGATCCATCGTCACTAACTACATTTTTTCTGGAATAGTCTGCCTGACTGATGTTCGTGTACATATTTATGCTTATTTGGTTGCTGAAAAATGTCCGATACCTTCAAAAAGTTCGGTTTGCACAGTTCACGTGTACAGACGGACCACTTTGACGGTAAAAAAATTATTCCACATTAATGTTGAGAGGCTTAGCATCTCCAAACAATGGGAAGATGGACTGACTGTGTTGTCGAATTAAACCATCCAAGGATCACATGTTTTGGTTAGTACTTTCACATTTTAACGATAACTGAACTATTAATCCGTCGAATATCCCTCTCTCAACCAATGAGCATTGAACTCACTTTAAGTAATTAGCGTAATTTGTTGTGAGGTGAACTAAGCCCATATTCAAATTAAGCCACGAGAACTCCAGTGAAGCATACTGTGTTTTGTGTTAGTCCATGCATACAGAAACAGGTGAACGGTTGGCCACCTTGCGGCTACTCTTCCCACTCTATAGGGCCAACCTCAATCATACCCAGCAACAACTTGAAGCAACGGCAAGGCCACGCTAGCCGACATTACACGGTGATTTCCAGGGGTGGTTGAATATTGGAGCTAACGATAACGGATATGATGGAACCTCTCGAAATTTCCGTTTGGAGCAGATTGGCTCCGATAAAATTTTGGGGAAACAAACGTTTTTCAACAGAGTGACTGTCCTTATGTTGGAGAGTAATGTGGCCCGTCGCAAGGTTCTGTTCGTTAAAAAAAAACTAAAGCAAATTTGACCACGCTGTCAACACTCAAAAATAGGCTAACCTTAACATCGTTAAATGTTTTCCAGACAATATTTTAAACCTAAACAGATACCAATAACAGATGATGCGCATGTGTTTTTATTTAAATGAGTGTCATATGCATTAGTTTACACGTGTACTCACCCCTTACACAATGAAGTCGACAGGTTCTCGCTTACATTATCGCAAATGTCTCCTTGATGTTGGCAGCTCTCGTTTAAGAGACAGCTAAAGCACTGTAATATTTAGGCCTGCAAAATTAAGAACTTCAAGTTGGTTTTCATTTCGTTCGTCCTTAAAGATGACTGAGTGGGATGTGACGACGTCATCTTCTCCGACACTCGACTCATTCAAAGCCGTAAATATACACCCACTGACGTCATCATTAAAGGAACTTTAATTTCCGGTGGGCCTTTCTGTTCCAAACAAATAGTCCCCGGAAACAGTCGTAGCCCCCAGTTTGTATCTTCTTTAGCCCTTTTGCACAAACTGTCTACGTTTCAGATGACATTTTCTGTGGCCGACCACCTATTGATCGGTTCAAGCCGCCCGGAGCAACACGGCTGAAATTGCAGCCAACTTTCTCTGGCAAAAGATACGTCATGCCGTACCTGTTGCACACAGTAAGCCATGATGGCTCAGTGACTCTGGGGTTGCTGGGTAATTAAGTGCATGACAAACTTTTCGTTATTTTTTGTCAGGATTTAAGGAGCAAGCGTCCAATTGGCTAATAGCGTCTTCTCTATCAAGAAAATTGCTATCAAATTGGTAGCGAGAAATAAAATGCAAGCTCACCCTACGCACACATCCACCCACCCCCACAAAAGGGTTGATAAAGGCGATTCTTGCTGCCAGTGGTGAATCTAGTCGGGCACGAGTGCTTTCCCTAGTGCTCAAGCGCTTTGGAATTGTGAGTTTCCTCGCGAATCTCATTGGTTAACATAATAAACATCGCGTACGATGGCTTCGCAGTTCTATCCGGTCCGATTTCTGAGTACGCACCTCTCTAGTCACGGTGACCCTGTGATCACGCTTTGGGCAGCCATTGCACGTGCACGAGTTTGCCAACGAAAGGCCATAATATACGGCTGCTTATTGGTGAAAACCTGCAGGTCTAATTTTGCTCTGATATCAATTTGATACCACAGACTGCTCAGCTCAAGCGTCTGCTCAATAGACCATGCTGGCGTCCAAATGTAGATAGAAGCATCTTTAATTTCTATTGACCAAGTGAACTTGAGACTAATTAGAGGCCATTACAGTTAATTACCAATACATTTGCATAAATTAGTAAAATGCAGGCACACCGAACTAATCCTTGCCTTTTGGTACTACTGCAAAACCTCTGGTGTTGAAATCAACACTTTTTAGTGCTATCAGATGACCACAATTGCATACGGTGTTACTTTAACACGTTGCTGGTGACCTTTTGTATACACCTATAAGTGTTACAATGAACTGGAGGGTATAAAAGTTACACAAATTTACACCAACATTTTAACACCAGTGAAAAATGTTGGTGTAGTCCTCTGATAACACCGGGGGTGTTGACTTTATCGCCCCAGTTTTTGCAGTGTAATAGGTATGTTGGATAGATAGGTGTAAAGAATGTCCACCCTCGGGGATACATGAAGCTTACTGGAAGGTTCATGGTAAGGCATGGGGTTTCAGAGTGTAGAGAATAAACACTGAAAATAACCTTGTCACAGCGGCCTTCGAGGCAAACACTAGCTGAGTATACAGTGTTGTAAAACACGTTGGACAGGGCAAAAATCCAAAATTAATTAAACCTGTCATGCTAAATTTTACCACCAGTAATAATTCAGATGTATGCACTTGACCTTGTACTTTGATGATGCGCTCATCGACCTTGGCAGTCCTGTGATTATTTTGTTTTATGCCCCACGCTGACTAGGCATAAATGTTACTTCATTTAGGATAAGATTTGATTATTGATGTCTATGCCCATCTAATAAAGAGTCGGCAAAATGTTAGAAATCAGATGAAATAAATTTTCGGACCCACGACCTCCGGTATTGGCTTCAAGTCCCACCCGAGTAAGCTTGTGGATTTTTTTCCCAAGCTCCCGGACAAGCACTGAGTACAGTATACTGTGTGTGGAAATGTGTATGTCGGGTAAGGGCAAAAACCCGGTAATTAAAAATTAACATCTCCCCGACGCAAAGTACACCTTGAAACATTCTCAAGTTGTTTCCTCCACTAGACCCAGATTCAGTTTGGTGCCCTCTACGATACGTAGCTATGATCAAACAAATCCTTCCAGGCACCGTCTGTGCAGCTTCGGGGTTATCACTATTGTAACGCGCGGACATAACGGTGATTTTTTTTACTCCAACTCTGCCAGGTCAACACTTTGGGAAACGTATATAAGGGCCACACGCAAAACAGGTTTTTTTGAGTCACTGTCTCGCTGCGGCGACTGAATTAGTAACTCGAAAAATGCTATTGCAGGTGGCCCCTATAAACTTCCCTACAACGCAGATTTCTAGCACAAAGATAACTGATGTGTTTGGCCCTTTTCAAATATCTCCATGTTTATAACTCAGGATGATCCCCGAGAATTTGCCAGTCTTTCCCACATTGGGACACCGCGTTGTATCCAGTGTTTTATGCACTTACATGGGTATTTCATTTCTCGGATAAAATGCATTCCTCCGAAAAACAAATCAAATGCTGTGTCTTCCAACCGTAAATTAAATATTTCACAAGCTCTTTTCAATCTAAATTAGAGTTTGTTAAATTGAAAACTCGTAACTACGCCGTTTTGATGTAAGGCTCTGCGGGAGTGTTATACATTGTCATATAAATAACAGAATATGTAGGCTGGACATATGTACAGAGCTCAGTTGGTACACAGCTCTGCATCTGTATCAAAAACATCGTCCAGCACCAATTTCTACTACGGCTGGGAACATCCCCCCCCACACACACACATTCTTATGGGGCATTTCCTGTGTTCTTTTGTACTAAAAAATTAGTATGTCAAGCCCAGTTTCCAAATCGCTCTCATAAAAAGTCAACCAGACTATTCCTGGGTTGATCAAGTTTTGAATTTTGCGACAGATTAGTATACCGCTTGGAAATTATTCCTTTGAGTGAATTCCAGGAATGTATTCATTTTAGTGGGGTGCCATTTAAATACCTCACAAGGACAACGAATGTCCCTTGTGGGTTACTTCCTATTGTTCTGGTACCCCACAAGGCACCCGATAAACACACGGACAATCACCACACCCTACCTCTGGCAATTCCCAGCACAAATTTACGCCACTTTGTAAAATGATAAAAAAAAACGGGTTTGGTTGAAATAAAATCTAGAAGACATTTAGAAGTCAGGTCGAAAGAAGTTATCAGTTGGCATATTAAGTGCCATCCGTGATATTTCTGCCGACTAGGGAAACGAATCAAGAGATTTTCCCGCAGCATTACGTCGATGCACGTGTAATAAATACACCGCATCCATTCAAATATCAAAGGGTTACATTTTTTCCTCTGCAGGTAATATTTGGCTAAACTCAATTACAGAGTTGGATCCAGTAGCCAATGTTGGCACGTCAAAATGTGCTGAATCATTAAATTAATTATGAATCCGGGATCCTGTTTGCGCAGCTGGGAAAAGTGCTCCCTCTATAGGGCCGGCCCGAGGAGAATGACATTATGCAGGCTGCTGTGGTATGGAATATTTAACACGTGCTGCTATGGAAGCCGCTGTTGCTAGCCGCTGCAGCCATTTCCCATACATGTGTGTAGTATTGCCGGCCCTAGCCAAACTATTCTCACACGGCCCTCGAAAAGTTTTCACTGGTATTAACTGTCAGGTCCCCAGACCGCAACAGTTCCGATTGCATTGACTCATAGGTAACAGAACCAGCTTTACCTGACGGAAAAGCGTTCCTGTCCTGGTGAATGGGGCTGTGATCCGCGTATCAGGAGAGGAACAAGGAAGTTTGCGAACAGGACGGTGGAATACGTACAAGTGAAACCTCTGCATTGGTGAAGTTATATCTGCTTTTTTTCTTTTTTTTTACATCCCTAATTTCCGTTATAATGTTGGAAATTTGCAAAAGGCAATTTCTGGAACTGCTGTGCTACATTTTGGGCATTTATTTAATACAGAAGAACGTAAAATTGTCAGATTGTGCGTAATAACTACACCACTGTCAGTGTTGTCATGGTCGTCTACCGTATTCCATGATGTATACCGTCACTGTGTGTCGTACGACTTCGAGTGATCGGACCAGTGTTAGGCGCGATCGGTTGATAGGCTTATATGCTGTTGCCAGATTTTTCGATCTTCATGTCATAAATCATGATCTCTGTCCGATCGGTCGGGCCATGGAGGAACAAGAACACACGGTCTTACTCTTAAGTCTTAGTGCATGATTTATTGATAATTCCACCATCATCCAATCGCCCTATTCTAATTCACATTCGTGAACACGATGAAAAATATAAGTCAAAACTGTCGGGGGGAGGGGGGTTACATACAAATAGCCTAAAATTGGAGATTTCCTAATCATACAGAATCTACCAATCATGGAGAGCGTTCAGGCAAATGTGCTGATTGGCCAATCACTCCCAACACATACATGTACATGTTGTGTTATGCCCCAACCATGATATCTGTTGGATGGTCCCAGCCAACTAACCAAACTACGGTTTGGTCAGTCCACAGAATGCTGGTGTGTACACATGCCATGGTGTGTCATACTTCCTAGCCTGTGTTGATGTGGATATGAACTCCTGTGGACAGAATCTAGAATTATTGGTGTTAAGCCAAGGCTACGATTTAAGCTTGAATGAAATGCCTCATTGGCAAAACTTTGAACGAACTCTGTTAGGTATGAGGTGCAAAATCTTTGGAGAAGGTTGAGAATTTGGTGTAGAAATTTTGCTGATTATTTGGGCCAGCCCAACTGCAGAGCTACGATAATGACTGTCCCTGCCAGATACTTGTACACACATGTAGTTGAGTGTAATGCATGGCATGTGTTGATTTGTACCAGACTAGCCGTACATGTAATTGGGCAGTGTACCTTGTTTCAACTACGGTATCTTCTGGTGGTAAAATTTCCTTCCTTACAGTTGAGTAACCAGGCCAAGAACGATGTCGAAGAAATTGGCAACTTACGATGACGCCTTGTACTGGACAGCTGACGAAGTTGGAGAGTGGCTGCAACAGGTGAATTGTCTTTTTCTGAATTATGATTTTAAAATTGATGAACCAGTCCCTGGCAAGGCCTGCATGGCTTATTCATGTTATTAGCTTCAATGATTTTTGTACCGGCTCTTTAGTTCACGTGCATGAATGGTAATTACTTATATTGCACATGTTTGGTGCACTGGGTGAGATGGGTCAGTTGGTGGGGGACATCTGTTTTTTGTCAATAAGAAAGGTCACTCCCTGAAAGTGTGCAACCTCAGGCAATGTTCTCTTAACGAGAGTTTCACAGTAGTGCACCACCATGAGTTCGTAGCGCACTGGCCTATCACTGGGGGAAACCTGTTGACCAGTGCGTGTTTGGAAAGGGTCAACAGATTTCACGTGTTGTGATTGGCCAATGTGCTGCAAACTCCGGGTCTCTGTGTGTCACCTGCAGGCAGGACCTCTGACGGTGATTCCAACCTCCCTTATCTTTCATGCAATCAGCCAGCTCTGTCGTGGTCTATACACCCACATCTCTCCTCAGCATGCTAACTTAGCTCACCCTCTGTCCATCCCTTGACTTTGTTACATGCATTGGTTCCCATAATACCAGTTGGCTTGCCGGTAGCTCGGGATGTCTGTAACACTGCCCTGCAAGGCCCATCCGTCTGTTTGCGATCTTTTGTGAGATCCGTGATAGTGTACCAAAAGGATGTTATCAGGCACACGGTCTCTCCAATCGATGTTGAGCACAACCTTCAGCATTCTGGTGTAGCATCCATTGATAGACTTCCGAAGGGCCATGTTTAAGGTCCAGCACTCACACCCATACAGCAAGATGGACTCCACTGTGGCCTGGAGGAAACTGAGCTTAACGTCCCTTGATAAGCTTGAGTTTCACACAGATTTCATTCAATTGACAGCCTTCCAGGCAAGGGCTTTGTGAATACGAATGTCCTGTGCAGATGAGTCAATCCATGACCCCAGATACTCAAAGTCCTTTGCCTCCCTGAGAGGGCACCTTCTACGGAAGTCAGGGGGGCGTGGCCAGGGATGTTGTATGTGATCACCTCCGTTTTTCTTGCGTTGAGTGAGAGACCCACTTGGCTATATTCCATCTCAACACGCGTCAGAAGGGGTACTATTGTGAATTGCCGGAATTGTTATGCTGATTCTTTTTTTGTACATTTTAGAATGGCACTTGGAAGAAAATGCAACTTTCTTTTTAATACCTCATTTCACTTTCTTACCTTATTAACTGAGCCATGCAAATTGACACGCTCATGTGCTGCGATACTGCTGTATGCTGGTAGCAAAGGATAATTGCCCATCTGGACCAATTAAAAATTGGCAATAATTAATGCAGCTATCAGCAACCAGTCAGCGATGTTTGACAGTTTTGCATTTGCACCACTGCCATCGTTTTTACCCTATGGTTTCCCTGCAGATATTCAGCATTGTGTGGTCATGTAGAAATGAGGTCTGCAGTTACACCATCCCCAGCCAGACAATCACAGGGGGGGGTGTGGGTTAATTCTTGTAACTGTCACACTGTAATGTTGCACCCTAACTGTAGCAGCTGGTGTCAATCGGTTTGCCCATTAAGCACTTGGCCAATTACCTCTTGGCCCATTTGCCATTTCGCCCACTTTGCTCATGGCCTTTGTCACAATTGAAAAGAGAGGAGGAAACATTGAAACGACAATTCCTGAATCTACCTTGGTTTCCAGGAAAGATAAAGATATCAAATGGCAATATTAAGATGTGATGGATTTAGAAACTGTCAACGTTTCCTTTGATGTAAACCAATGCAAGGCTATAATTTATGCGGGCCGGCACCAAAGCAGGTAGTGAGAAGTGTAAAATACCTAAGCCACTCCTGCGACAACATAAAGTACGTTCCAAATGCTGACAACCAAAAATTTGATACCGAATGATACAAAACTTCAGAAATATTGCAGTGGCTTATTTCATGGAATGAGAGTCATCTTCATACTTATAGGCATTAGCCATTTTTCATGCGGTCTCGGTGCAGTGCAGGCTGTTGGAAAACTTTGGAGCATTGTAACAGAAACAATGCTTTTGAAAATGCATTTATTGTGTGTCGAAGTATGGATATTTTGATTTTTGTATCTGAAAAACTTGTACACATAAAACCCACTAAGATACGGAGATTTGTCAATTAATCACGGGCCCACGTGCTTGTGAAATTAGGGCATGCATTATTACCACGCGAAATATTGTGTGGGCACTCGTATGGGGGGTGGGCGAAGTGGTAAATGGGTCAAGTGGCAAGTGGGCAAAGTGGCAAATGCGCGAAGTGGTTGTGGGCAAAGTGGTAAATGGGCAAAGTGACTGTAAAGTGTAGCAGCAGTCCCAACCATTCCGTAATTTTGACCATACAAGAGAAATGTTGGGGGGGGGGCAGCCTAGCTACTGCACAAAACATGAAGTTGGAAATGCACAACTTTTATTGGCAATGTCCAAACTTCAGTTGCTACAGTTGTACCCATGCTGTTGTTGGGGTACCTGTAATGGGTAAAGGGCTCTTCAAGCAGCAGAAACATTCCTTTATTATTGTATATCCTTGATAACTGCATTAGAACTTGTGAATTTGCCTAACCAGCTTATCAACCCTTGCCACACCTACCCACAATCAGGGGTGAGATTTGTCAATATTTTTCTTGATTTCAGACTTTTTCATCAGGATGGAACTCTGGAAAATCCTGAGATTAAATTGATAGAAAACAAGGAATGGGTATTTTAAGGGATACCTTTCAGCAAACAGAGGTTCTGCCTTGCTGTGGGGTCCTCAAAACCTCAAACATGTCAGGGGATTATTTTGTTGATATGTACAATGTATCACATTTTCCTTTAATCTGGCCCGTGCACGCTTCAGTTTTACCATATCACCACACCCTTAACCCAAGCCAGGCCCAGCAATATGCCAGCAATCCCAGGCCCAGTCAACCCGAATGAGCCAAGCTTAGCCTTCCCACAAATTATCATCTGGCCTGCACCTGACCTGATCACCTATTGTTATCCCTGCAGCCTCACCAACCCAGCCTCTGCTACAAGCACAGCTTCACTTCTACACGCTAGTCCCAGATTTAATAACTTAGACCACACCTACCTTTATTTACACCACCCACCATGCGTACCGGGAAGGGGGATTACATACGTACATGTATTCCACTGTTCACTAGAACAGGCAAAATTTATTCAGGACGGGCAGTTTTTGCTCGAACAAAACCCCCATATGTGTCACAAATCTTTAACAGTGATAAATTATGATTATACTATACTATAACTTTATAATTTTCTCCAGTATTCGGCACAACGGAAATAGGGGCTCAGATAGCAGGAGGGGGGGTAAAAGGCTGAAGAGGTTTTGTGGAGAGTGGAAAGGCAGCTTTGAAATCGTATGAGAAAGGACAGGCAGTGTACAATGCATGTTAATCCTAGATGAAACCATGGGTCTGAATTCTTCTCTCAGTGTCATCTCAGTTTGTTGAGGTGTCTCATAGGTCAGGTTGTCACAAGATGAGTTGACAAACAATTTGAATTGTCCAAGCTCCATTTACTTGGCCTGAAAATGGACATTTACCTGTACATGTATGGTACATCGACCAAAGAAAAATTCACTTTAGCCACAAAGCTGTGTAGTTTGAAAATATGCGCACATTCATAACATTCACTGCATGTAATTAATTTTTTCAGGAACTGTCCGATTTTCACAGAAGTGACTCTGAAAATATGTATAGTATGAATGGCATTTGTGTTAATCACGTACTAGTACATTAAGAGAGGGGCTACATCAGGATATATACATTCATGGTACATACATGTACATGTTCATGGATGTACTACCGCAACATGTACATGTACGTGTAGCACATCATGCATGACATGGGAACCAACACAAGGATCAACTTCTTCTGGAGGACAGACACTAACCTCCATGTACGTGTACATGTACCGGTACACGTACATGCACATGTACCGGTACAGGGATCAACTGCGCCAAGAAGATAACTACTTGTAGCCTCCATAGCTGAGGTTGCAGTCAGGGGATATCATGCTGTGTGGCATGCCTTCGTTGCTCTTTGTAGAGAGTTGACTTGATGATGACCATGACATCATGCATACTTCATGTGCATATGTGTACACTGTACATGTACATGCATTTCACATTTGAATTCCGTTTTATTAGATGCACTCGATCAAAGTCAAGTTGTTGACTTTCAGTTAACCTCATGCATCTTACTGCTTATTAACCCTAACCTTCCTCAATCCTTCACCTGTTGGAGGACTGAGGAGTGTTAGGGTTAATGTTACAACTGTTACTTTCTGTGGGAGTCTATCTACAAGAAGTGGACCTAGTTGCACAGTGTACATGTATGTTTCCAAGTAAAATTCATACCGAAGGACCGTACATGTGGGATTGATATATTAGGAAATCCTGTCACTTCGCATTGATTGGAGTACCGGTATATAGATTTTCACACACGTGTAAATGTGTGCGACATGTACATGTATATGTATGTGTAAGTAGTTCAAATTGGCAGGGCAGCTGTACATGTACATGTATGCTGTGCTAAAGATTTCTTTTGATCTATCCGGGCTGAGCTGGAACAAAAGAGGGCGTGTTTTGAAGTGAAATCAACAGTCCTTTTGCAAATGCTACAATTTGATATATGAATGACCCCTGTAGTGCACTGCGTTCCAGAGATATATAGACATTTGTATATCCACATTTTCAGATTCAATAAAAGCCCTTCTTGAGAAAAAGCTGATTAAGTGTAACATTTGGAAACACAATGTTACATGTATATATAGGATTTCTTCTGAATGATAAATTTTTCATCTTTATTCATCAGTATCCATGTTTGTTGTCACAAATTCAGAAAATGTAAATATTATAAAAGTATTTAAGGAAAAAACACGAAATCACGTTTTTGAAGAAATTTTGCCCTCTCCAAATACCAGTAGAACCGATCATTACATGTTTTGGCATTGCACGACTTATTACCCTT